AGTGCGTACCTATAAATGTATACGTACCTGTAGCATGTATACCTGTATATGTATACGTACGCACCTGTAGCCTGTACCTGTAGCCGCCGCGTGTGTTCGATGCAGGTAAGCTGACGAAGGATCAGATCAAGGCCGGCTACCAGGCGCTGAAGAACGTCGACAAGCTCATCCGCAAGGGTCAGACGACGGGGTCGGCGATCGTGCAGGCCTGCAACGACTTCTACACGAGGATACCTCACGACTTTGGGTGGGTATCTGTTGTAGACGCAGCAGGGGTGGGTATCTGCATAGGTGTTAACAGTGTCTGTCTGTAGACGGATTTCCATCTTGAGAAAAATTCGGAAACATTTTTTTTTAGAATTTAAAAAAAAGGTGAATTGCATCTAATGATCTTAGCATGTATGCTTGTTACATGTTCTTGTATAATAGTGTTTTGTCTAGATCTTATCAGGTAATGTCACCAAAAGTGTTTTATGTTGCACAGAATCCATAGCTTCGAGGGGGATGCCCCCTCCCCCCGATCCCCTGTATATAATCTGATCTGTTGATGTGGCAGGGGTGGGTGTAGTTCTCTCCCTACTCTCGTCATTACCCCCTACGCTGCGTACATGTGCATGTTGTTACTGCTGCTGCAGGATGCGACAGCCTCCGATCATCCGAACCCAGGAGATCCTCAAGGCAAAGTTGAGTCTACTTGAGGTGAGTGAGACATGGATGCATCCAGTCAGCATCTCCTTCCACCAAATCGCTCACCTGTGACAACAGTTGTTGTAGTGATAATCGTCGTGGAGATGGTCGTCTGTCTCAATGATAGTCGTGATCGTCATCGTGATAAGAATTGTTGTGGTGATCGTCATCGTGATAATAATTGTTGTAGTGATAGTCATATTGATATATATCTAACTTCATTCGTTCGCACATCGTCGCTACGTACGAAGGCATGCAGGAAAGAAAACCATTAGACTTAGAGGTGATTGTATTCAGACCATATACATCCAGTCTCAGCATGACGTCTTGATGTCACCTATACCATACCATATTGCATCCGTTAATTTCTCATGCACCCACAGATCCGCCCGTACCTAAGAAGGCGAAATCATCAAAGATGGCCGACAGAGTGAAGAAGGAGGAAGCGGGAGATGTGGAAGAGAGTAAACGTGAGTGCATCTAACAACGTGGGGGTGGTGGGCTAATATATAACAATTTATACAATAATATATATATATATAATAATAATAATAATAATAATATAATTATACATAATAATATATAATAATATTATAATATAGTAAATAATAATATATTGTAAAAGTATATACCTGTGCGTGCGGCGACGGCGGGGTGTTTTTGCGGAGTGGTCAGCGATTCGTCCGGGTTTCTTTCTGCAGTCAAAACTGTGGTGATTAAAGGCAAGGCGCCGATGGATGCTGAGTGTACGGAGAAGCTTGGCAAGGCCCACGTTTACTACGAGAGCAACGACGTCTATGATGCCATGCTCAACCAGGTGCGAGACCAACACTCGCCTAGTTACCCACCTAGTTATAAACTTATAACCTACGAGTTACTTACTTAACAGTTACTTACTGTCGATCATGGCCTTTATGGACAGGTGGCCGTTCTATAGAAGTGATCTCACTAACGCAGGTACTCGTCATACTAACTTGTCACACTGGCATCCATCCTCGCACGCAAACCACAGTCAAACTGCGTATAACAACCAGCCACTCGAGGGTGACAGCGAACATCTATGTATTCAAAAGTTTTCGTGTGTTCGAACGTTTTCGTGTGTTCCAACGTTCTCGTGTGTGTTGAACGTTCTCAGGTGTGCCAAGGTTCTCGTGTGCTCCAACGTTCCCACCTGTTCGAACCTTCTCGTGTTGTTCGCAGACCAACCTGCAGGCAAACAACAACAAGTACTACCTGATGCAGCTGCTGGAGGATGACTCGCAGCGATCGTACAGCGTCTGGTTCCGCTGGGGACGAGTCGGCAAGAAGGGCCAGAGCGCGCTCGTGCCGTGCGGCCCCGACCTTCGCGAAGCCAAGGACGTGTTCACGCGCAAGTTCACCGACAAGACGAAGAACGAGTGGTCGGAACGACGCAGGTGCGTAGTCATCATTGTTGATGTGTTCTGCGAGCGCGGAGGCGTTCCTGCCAGAAAACGTTCACGTTTGTTTTTTTGTTTTTTTTTCTCGGCCATTTTTACTTTTTGCGTTTGTTGGAACGTTATTCGATCGCGTGCGTGGCGGATGACGGCGGGTTGCGGCGGTCGACGTCGGGCTTGGTTGGACGTTTCCGTGGTCGTCGTACGGTCGGCTCATTGTCGACCTTCGACTTGCGTTTGTAAACCTTACCTTCTCCTCACACCACGCTGACCATTTTTCCCTTACTGCCCGCTCATTTCTGATAATGTTTGATCATCCCACTCAACCTTCATTGCCTCACTCATCCTGGTTATCCGATTTATTCATGATCATCCTTGATTGCCTGACTGATCCTGTTTATCCCATTTATTCCTGATCATCTTTGATTACTTCGCTCATCCGTGGTTGCCTTGCGCATCCTAGTTATACCATTTATTTTTTATTATTATTTACCATTTATTATTTATTACCATTTTTTATTACCATTACCATTTATTATTATTACCATTTATACCATTTATTATTATAATTTCTTCCTGATCATCTTTGATCACCCGACTCAACCTTCATTGCCTCACTCATCCTGGCCATCCTGTTTATTCCTGATCATCCCTCTCATCCTGTTTTCACAGCTTCGTCAAGGTCGCCGGCAAGTACGACCTCCTCAAGATGGACTACTCGTCTGGCAGCGTCGAGAAAGAAGCGGAGTCTGCGGCGGCGAAGCGCAAGGGGGCGCCACCGCGCAAGGAGGTGGCGTCGCGGCTGGACGAGAAGCTGCGAGTGCTCGTCGAGCTCATCTGCGACGTGCGAGCGATGGCACAGACGGACACGCGCTCGCAGGAGACGCACGCGATACACCGAGTCAAGTCAGGTGACTAGCCTCCGATAGATTCGCGAAACCTGTGTGTAAGGGTCGCTCTTAACAATCACCTGTGTGTAAGGGTCGCTCTCAACAATCACTTGTGCGAAACGCTAAAGGTATTTTGTGTTTTTAAAAGTAAGTGACAGTGTTTAAAACGTTAGAAGTATTGAAAGTTCATTCTATAGACGCTGTTTCTCTGTATAGCTGTCACTCAGAAGGAACGTCAGAAGTGTCCTTTATAGGCAGGTGTTCATTCTATAGACGTTTCTCTGTATAGCTGTCATTCAGAAGGAACGTCAGAAGTGTCCTTTATAGGCAGGTGTTCATTCTATAGACGTTTCTCTGTATAGCTGTCACTCAGAAGGAACGTCAGAAGTGTCCTTTATAGGCAGGTGTTCATTCTATAGACGTTTCTCTGTATAGCTGTCACTCAGAAGGAACGTCAGAAGTGTCCTTTATAGGCAGGTGTTCATTCTATAGACGCTTCTCTGTATAGCTGTCACTCAGAAGGAACGTCAGAAGTGTCCTTTATAGGCAGGTGTTCATTCTATAGACGTTTCTCTGTATAGCTGTCACTCAGAAGGAACGTCAGAAGTGTCCTTTATAGGCAGGTGTTCATTCTATAGACGTTTCTCTGTATAGCTGTCACTCAGAAGGAA